TATCGCGCCATGAGGTGGGCATGTGGCGTCTAAGTAGTGATTGCACTCGGAACAATACAATCAGAGGCCGAATCCCAGGTTCTAGGTAAAAGGCAGAAAGCACCAGTGGGAGGGCTTTATTGTGCACAGAACCCTGATTTGCTGTCTCAGGCAGCAGTGGTTAATGGCAAAGTCAGGGCTAGTATCGACTGCATCTAGTCACGCAGTGGCAGCTTGGCGGTCATAGATGGTCAAATTACGGACAGCGTATCCTGATCCCAAGCTGGTGTCGCAGGATAACCATAATTATTATCCAATCTGTTTGATTCAGTAGGGTATGTCATCTTGCCGTTGCTTGTTCATAAGGCTACATAAAGTCAGGGTAATCTACGAGGAAGATATTGCAATGTGTGGTGTTAATTCTCCATGACGGTTCGAAATTCGTTCATATAAAGGGACCGGCAGCTAGTTATGAGATAGTTAGGTATGAACTCCGAGAAAATTCCCAGAGGTCTTAGCTTGAAGTAAATCTTTCAGGATCAAGGCAGAAACGTCTCGCTGCTGGCTGCGTAGGTATGATTTTTATTAGTTTACATTTCGATCGATTGGTCCATGTATTCGTAGAAGAAAAAAGAAAAGAAGAAGCAAGTTATTTAGGTGGACAGATAAAATTTAAGAAAAATACACTGAATGCATTGACTATGTGACCCAGATAGAGGAGCGTAGCAGTGTAGTGTATTTCATACTTTAAAGCAATTGGCTCAGTGGCACGATTGCTTATTTCACCAACATCTGCAATCTTGCTGTGGGATAGTGTGTATTACTTTCTGTTTCAGGTTCGCCACATAAAGGGTAGTGCTCAACTCAGATTAAAGTATATATGGGAAGAAGATGTACAAAGTTTCCAAAATGTACGCTCAAAAGCCCGTGTTACGTAATGTCCAAATATAAAGAACACTTCAGAAAGCAGTTTTTTGTTAACTGTTTTAGTTTCCTGCCACTTTCTTTTCGGTAGGTCTAAAAAGACATGAGTGATGATCATGTCAGGGGTCGGTTTAATAAACTGTTTTGGTATAAATAAGTCATAAGCACGTCAATAAACCGTTTACTGTGGTGTCCTAATTATTTTTCACCTTCTTCCTTGTTGGTACATCTCAAGACATGGTCTGTTTGACATTACCTAATATCAGTTCCTATTTAATCTATCCATGACTGTAGAATTTCTTTGAGAGTGAAGGTCTCGAACTGAATGAGCCAGAAAATGCACCAGAAGATCCTTACTTGAAACAGAGAGCGATCAGAGAGGCCATCGCACTCAACACGACTCCGAGTTCCTTTGACAAAAGACGCCAGCATCTCGAACTGGATCGACAAGTTCTGCGATTTTACGCCGTCTGGGATGACCGCGATGAGATGTTCGGAGAGTTGCGGAAGTTTGTAATACACGTAAGTTGTCGGAAATGCATTCTCTACGGAAGACAACAGAATGAACATTAATATTTCGGCAAAAAAGCACACTAAGAGTTTTAGTTAACAAAACCGATAATACCATAACCTCAATAGAAAAGTTGATGTATTAACCTGGGGTATGTAAATTATAAGGAAAAATGTAGTTTGTTCGTTTGTATTTTTATCATGATTTTGCTTATTAAGCTCTTCTTGATCTGACTTAATACAATACTGGTAGGACTTCTTATAGCTTGTGAAACTTCAACGACCTGGACGCTCAAAAATGCATTAACTTCAAGTTGCTTCTCATTTTTTTTGTAAAAGTACTACCTGATGGATGACACTCTGGAAGTCAGAGAAAAACACGAGCGAAATGACGGCCGCGACCCATTCTCGGTACTCATTAGGAGGGAGAGAATCCCAAAAGATCGGGATGCCGTACCGCCAACCTTTCCCAGTGTCTGTCTCGAGCTTACAGGTAAGAAGTTAGTGTCCTCTGGCGTAAATATGCTCGAGTGAATTGAATGACCGTTAGCAATTTCACATCTTTAAATGCTGGGATAATGTTTATGCATACAATGAATTCATATTTGATGCTTAGTGTTATAACGGTGCCCTGCGTTGCCAAATGTTATAATGGTGGCCAAGAGCTGCGATATTCCCGTCTGACTAACGCCTCGTGTGAGCCCC